AGAGAGAGAGAGAGAGAGAGATGGGAGGTAGGCAGGGCCCTTTTAAAAGGGAACATAATGAATAGGCACAGGTGGTGCTCTTAGTGGCAGCAGATGAGGGCGTATCTTGTCAGAACTCCAAAGGTAGGTCAGTACAAATGCCTAAATACTACCAGTTATGGCTTGATATTTGCTTTCCTGGGAGGTGACCCCTTCCCAGTGCTAGGCACAGGCCATATTTGTTGTTGCTCATGGCCTTGATTTCTTTACCTTTGGCTGCCTGTCTAGCCCAGTGGAACTATACCTTAAACTTTGTCGAGCCTGGCACCTGCCTGTCTCCATGCTCATCTTTAAGGGAAGCCTGCCAGTTAGTTTCCTTACATGGCCTGCACAGTTTTTAGGCTCACACCCTTCACAGTATTTGCTTCCCTATTACACAGGGAAAACCTGTTGGCTCTGGCAAGTTTGTGCACTGCCCATCCTGCTTAGTGTGAACCTGCATCTCCTGCTTGGTTCTTGCTTGTTCTTCTTCAGCTGGCTGCAGGCTGCTCAGATCGATGGTTATAACGATCATATCTCATGTCTAACTGGGCTATGGTCAGAGGGAGAAAGAGGCTTGTTTCCAAGGATTTCTTAAGAGCGAGGACTCTCCTAGAGTCCTGAGCAGTTGTGCTGTTCTCCCGGTATCTAAGATGGAACCCCATGCTGAGCATTGGTGGCTCATGCCTTTAATCCCAGCACTTGGGAGGCAGAGACAGGTGGATCTCTGTGAGTTCAAGGCCAGTGTGGTCTACAGAGCAGTTCCAGGACAACCTCCAAAGCAATACAGAGAAACCCTGTCTCAGAAAAAAGGATGGAACCCAGCCCCATTGCACATGACCATGGGGGGGGCAGGGGGGCTTTGCTCTGCATTATCTGAGTGGGGTCTACTTGACTGGCTGCTCATCACACCTCAGCATGTCAGTGTTGATCTCAGGGAATTGTGGGTACTTTCCTTAGATGACATTCTGCTAGAGAGGGAAGTATGTTTGTGGCATCTGTCATTGTGGAGTGTGGCTTTTCCTCATCAGTAGATTCTTCACACCCATTTCTGCACCCTTGGAGTGAATCTTGTGATAGATACTATTCTTCAGATATACTGACGTGTTTGTACCTCTTAAGACTTTCTTTGGGATCTCTGTATTTGTAAGTGGTATTTGAGGGTGTTACTAAGTCTTTAAGAATAGGAGTTAATACAGTGAAAAGAACCTGGCATTAAAGGCCAAGTTACTTAACCTCTCTGAAACCAGTTTTCATCCATGGACAGGGCTCACAGGCCTGCTTAATCCAAGCTGCTTTGAGGAGCCTGTGAGACAATGTATGCAAAGCTCTTTTTAAACACTGAGCTTTGACAAAAAACGAGAACTTCATCTCATGCTGTATATTCAAGATTTTTGACTTTGAACTTTTTTTCTTCTTCATGGAGATGGGGTCAGAGAACATTAACCAGTGTGTTTTCTCAGTGCTTTTTTCATAAATCACAGCCAGAAACCAGTGCAGCAAGGAGGAGGGAGAGGTACTGTGAGCCTGGTAAGCAAAAGTTATCAGCATTTAGTTATTAGACCTCCATTCTCCATGGCATCCTTGGGGCGCTGGGGGAGATTTGATGTTTTCTGAGGTCCCTGTGAATGCAGGTTATTGCTGGTGTTGTCGCCCAATTACTCTCTACTTATTTTACTTAGACTTTAGTAATTGGAAAAAGATTAGATGTCAGGACTTTGCATTTTGTTGATTGTATTACCAAAGTCTTCTTTGTAATCACTTCTCTTATTCCTGGTATTAATCATGAGCTCCAAGCTGTTAGAAGAGTCTAATAGTAGATTTCTAACAGAAGCAAAGGAAGCAAAAATTGCCTTTGTCTTGCTGGAACTGGAGTGTGTAGATGTCCCTACATACCCACATGAGCCCTCTAGTCACCCAGGAGATCAGTGATAGGCAGAATCAGGGTCTACTGTCCTTCCCCACTGGCCATTCACTCACCACCTTGGTTGTAGGCACCTCTCTCATTGGCCAATCCTTCTTTGGTTCTGCTCCTTGGTGGTATTTGTAAAGACACCCGGCCTTGTGTTTGTCCACTGTGAAGCTCTCTTATCCTAGATGTGTATTGTGTGGCTCACTTTTGTCAGTGCTTCATGAAGACAAGCTTACCTCCCTGAGACCAGTGCCCAGAAGATGTCTTGGATGGGTATTAAAAAGCAGTGAGTGGGATGGAGTGGGAGAGAGAAAGAGGGCCAGCTAAGATGTCAAATGGAGACTTAGCATTGTGGGTTCAAGGAGACACTGAGATAGTGGGAGGGGAGGGAGCTGGTGCCCTTGATGCCACTGTCGTAGGGAGGAAGGACCTCACCTGTCCCAAGGTGGCATCAGAGATACCTGGCTGCCTTTGACAGACATATCCTATCTAAGCCTTATAAAACAAAACAAAAACCAGGCAATGCTCTGCTTTGCATTAATAGAGTGGTGACTCATTATCTTTTGTGTACTGAGGACAGTTACTCTCTGAAATGTTTATAATTTAGGCTTACTTAGATTCCATTTGTGGGGCTCCCTGACCCCCAGGGACACTGATGGGATATGGTAAGATGCTTTAGAACCATTTCTAACCCTGATTTTCTCTGTTCTGTTTTTTTTTCTTCCAATAGAAGAATTACGGAAGCTGAGCTGGTCTGGAATCCCAAAGCCAGTTCGTCCAATGACATGGAAGCTTCTCTCAGTAAGTCTGCATGCCAAGGCTCAGCCTAGTTATTTTCTCCTGTATGTACAGTGGCCTGTTACCTGGCTGGAGGAGCATGACTTGCTGGCCATGGCTGTACACTTGTCTATCTTGGCTGCATAATGACACAGGACTTTGCTGTGGCCAAGATGGCATTGTCTAGTTTTAGCTTATTTCAAGATTGGTTTGGCAAGTCTGACAGAAAGTGAGGACAAGCAACAGCTCGTGACAGCTGTGTTAGTTCCCTCCAACTTCTACCAGTAAAGAATCACTATATGCAGGCTCATGACTCAGGAGCTTACAGTATAGAAAACCATACAGTTCAGAGGAAATGGGTATTGGTAATGCTGTTATTGAATAAGAACAAGAGGAAGAGGACAAAGAGAAAGAGGAAGAAAAAGAGAAAAAGGGGGAAGAAGAGCAGGAAAAGGAAGAGGAAGAGAGGAAAGAGGAGGAGGAAGAAGAGGAAGAAGGAAGACAGTAAAAGGAAGAGAACAGGAGGTTTTGGAAATAGCTTGTTTTTACAATAGAGAGTGGGGGTCAGTTCCCTGAACCCCAAGCTGCCAGTCCAAAAACCCTTCTGAAAGAGTTTAGCGGTTGTTGGTGGTTGGCTGAATGCCCTCACCTACTTAACCCTGGCTTAAGATTGGAAGCAAGAATAGTTTATTGACAGTTTTCTTCTCTTTTCCTATTGTTTTATTTTTGAAGATCAGTCACTGGGAACTATAGGCCCCTACTCTAAATTGAGTTTGACTTTCAGTGTTTAAAAGACTTGTGCTAATGAGTTGTAATAAATTTTCAGTTCAGTACCTCGTAATCCTAAATGCAGATGCAGCTCCAAACAGCAAATATTTATTGATTAAATATCTCTTGCAATTAAGGCTAGACCTGCTGCGATCACTTGTGCTGTATTTTGTGGTTTTCAAGTGTTTATAACCACATTTCTAAATGTCCTCTAAGAGAGTTATACACTGTTGATTGGTTTGTAGGAAGTTATGATGTAAATGCCTGGAAGCCCCTCTGTCATAGATTTGTGTTCATCAAGCATGGGCTGGTCTAAGTGGAAAGTCTCTTGAGAGGCTTTTGCACCTGCTCTTTCCTTCACATCTGTACCTGTGGAAGTCATAGCTGCAGTTCCCTGATCTGCTTAACTGCATAGTGATTGCCATGTCAGTGGGCACAGAGCATCAGAGGAACAGCAAAGGTTGAGATGGGGTGAGTGATGGGCAGCTCCACCCTATTGATGTGGACCTAGGATTGCGTACACAGGAGTGCTGGCAGTGTAAACCAAAGAAAATCTTTTGGGTGCCTGCCTAGAAACAGTAAAGGCTATGGAGACCCTATTGTAGCTTGAAAGAAAAATAGCCCTCAAAGGAAGTGACATTATTAGGAGATGTGGCCTTGTTGGAGGAAGTGTGCCACTGTGGGAGCAGACTTTGAGGTTTCTTTTGCTCAAGTTACCCTCAGTGTGACTGTTCAGTTGACTTTCTGTTACCTGCAAGGTGTAGGACTCCCAGCTGCAGCACCATATCTCCTGGCATGGCCATTTTGCTCCTTTCTGTAATGATAATAGACTGAATCTCTGAAATTGTAAGCGAACCTCCTCAATTAAATATTTTCCTTTTAAGAGTTGCCATGGTCATGGTGTCTCTTCACAGCAATAAAAACCTTAACTAAGATAGACCTAGATTCTTCTAGGAAGAGGTCAGGGGCTCAGACATGCAGCAGGATATGTTCAGCACAGTTTGGCACAGTATACCTATGAGATGTTCAGGGCTAAAAGGAGGGGTTGGGATGGTACTATGGGGTGGCCAGTTCCTAGGGTTGGTTTTGTGAGGGGAGGCTTTACAGTGTGTCTCTAAGGCATTGCAAGTGCACAGGGAGGGCAGGAGGACTAGGGCATTTCTCAGGCCTGAACTGACAGATGAGAAGGTAAATGCCAGATTAGTGAGCACATCTGCGCTTTACCAAGAGTAGCTCCAAGGGAGAGTATAACTAGTGAGGATGCCAGGCAAGGGTCCTTGGCACAGATGCATGCTCACATAGCATCTCTGGAGCTATTTGGATGAGGGAGTTGGGGAGATCATAAGGTAAATGGATGAAGTAGGGGTGTGGCAGGTCAGTAGCACAAACTAGGCAAGTGCTCCCCTTCAGACCTCTGTAGGAAGGCAGGGCAGAGGGCCAGGATCAGAGGACAGCATGTACAGTTGACACCAAGGTAACATGGCCCTCATCCTGAAGTCCTTGAGCCAGGGGTGTGCAGCTGCTTCTGGAAGGAGAACAACTGTAGTTGGATTTTTTTAAAAACTCCTTTGCTCTTTACTCTTTGTGGGGCCCACCTTCCAGCTCCCAAATAATTACATGGAAGCTTATTCTTTCTTATGAATGCCTGGCCTTAGCTTGGCTTGTTTCTAGCCAGCTTTTCTTAACCTAAATTTTCTCATCTACCTTTTGCCTCCGGGCTTTTACTTTTCTCTATTCTATATACCTTTCTTTCTTTTTACTTAGTGGCTTGCTGTGTAGCTGGCCCTTGGTGTTCTCTCTCCTTTTCCTTTCTCACTCCTTCTTCTCATTCTTTCCTTCCATTTATCCTCTCTGCCTGGCCGCCCCACCTATCCTTCTCCTGCCTAGCCATTGGCCATTCAGCTCTTTATTAGACCAATCAGGTGTTTTGGGCATGCATAGTAACACAGCTTCACAGAGTTAAACAAATGCAACATAAAAGAACGCAATACATCTTTGCATTATTAAGCAAATATTCCACGGCATAAATGAATATAAGTCATCTTAAATTAATATTCCACAACAAATAACCTGGAAAATCATTGGTCAGTATATCTAGTTATTGATGGAGACTGACTAAACTCTGTTTCAGGCACTGTGTTTGGTGCTGGAAAAGGACAGGGCATGCCTGAGACTAAGTCCCAGCCCTCCTAGGTTCTGCACAACACAGAGAGAATGCTTACTCATAAGTTACTATGTAGCACAGGCCTGGGGCTTACAGCATAGAAAAGGAGTCATTTCCGCAGGACCCTGTTTCTGAGCCTCCATTGCTTCTTTATTGAATGCTTGGTGAGTGCAGGACAAGGCATACTCAGATTTCTTTAGAAAATGTGTTTTCCCAGAGAATGAGCAGGTGACTGTTACCAAGTAATTCTGAGCCATGTCTGGCAGGGAAGCTGGGAGGGGTTTGAGTTGGGAAGGGTTGGGAAGAAGTCAATGGCCAAGGCTAAACGTGTATGGATGGAGTCTGGCCACTAGAGCAGGTAGAGAGACTGGCTCTTCTTCAGGGCTTTCTATTGCTGTGAAGAGACACCATGACCATTGTAATGCTTATAAAGGAAAACATTTAACTGTGGCTGGCTTTCAGTTTCAGAGGTTTAGTGTATTATCATGGTGGGACATGAGAGTGCAAGCCGACATGGTGTTGGAGAAAGAGCTAAGAGTTGCACATCCACAACAGAAGCAACTGTCACACTGCATAGCTTGAGCATAGGAGACCTCAAAGCCCACTCCCATAGTGACACACTTCCTCTAAGGCCACACCTACTACAATAAGGCCATACCTTTTAATAGTGCCACTCCCTATGGACCAAGCATTCAAACATGTGAGTTTATGGGGGCCATACCTGTTCAAACCGCCCCACATGGCATTGACTTTTCCAAGCACTTGGCTCTGAGATGCTGTTTCTGTGCAACCTGCTGCCTGCCAGTGCAGGACCTGCATGGGAGAGGAAGCCGCTTAGCTGGGATGCTGGTCCGACATGGAGTACCCAGGTAGGGTAGGAATTGGTTCTTTCTCAGCTGAACTAGCTGGACCCTGGAACTTGCCTGAGAATGACTTTTGTGTTTGATGGCTACTTGCAGATGCTGCCAGCCTCAGTATGTGTCTTAGTTTGGGTTACTATTGCTGTAATGAAACACGACCAAAAGCAAGTCAGGGTGGAAAAGGTTTATTTGGCTTATGCTTCCACATCATAGTCCATCACTGAAGGAAATAAGGACACGAATTAAAAAGGTTAAGGACTGGGAGACAAGCTGATTCAGAGGCCACAGAAGAGTGCTGCTTACTGGCTTACTTAGCCTGTTTTCTTGTAGAACCCAGTGCCACCGGCACAGGGCTAGCCATACCTACAATGGGCTGGGCTATCTCCTATCAATCACTAAGAAAGTGCTCTACAGGTTGCCTGTAGCCTCTTATGGAGACATTTTCTCAACTGAAGCTCCCTCTTCTCAAATGACTCTAACCTGTGTCAAGTTGACATAAAATTAGCCAGCATAGTATGTTTTCTGTAATAAAGGTCTGAGGGGCATGTCGGTCAGTCACAGGGTATTTGAGGGGGTGGTGGAGATAGAGAAGACTCTCTCTTGTCCAACTTGCCCTTTATACTGTCTCTGAATAGCTCTGATTAACATGGCTTCCATTGTGACTGCCCTGGAAGCTGTCCAGGTTCTGGTTGCTGGGATCTCAGCAACCAATCCAGGTTGGACAAAAGTATCACAAATGCACTGAACCTGGTATCTGTGAGTCAGAGTGTCCCTGGAGCACCTGACTGTAAATAGCAAGAGCAGAGCGTGCTCAGTGAGTATGGACTCCTGACCTGTGGTCTCTTTCCATCTGGCTGCATTTTACTGTCACCCAGGGGGTTGGGCAGTGCTCATACCTGGACTTGGTGGTGCATCCAGGTAAAATCCCTATGTTCTAGGGCTCAAGGAATCATGCAAGACAGGACCAAGATGCTCATGAACCAGTTGGGAAGTTGGTCTCTGAAAGTTGCCCCAGTAAAAGTAGTTGCTCACTGGATCTGAGACACTTGGACTAGGAGTCTGGGCTGGGTGGTGGTGGGTGAGTGGGGACTAGATTATGAACCTAGTTCAAGGTCTGGCACACTAGTGACTTTCCCCCAGCATGCATATGGTTTGCCATTAGCACAAGTCTAGTGTTCATGGACAAGTGTCAGTTTAATTAATGAGAGGAAATTCTGTTTTAGAGGAGAAAT